ATGGGTAACACCGTTAGCGCGCGAAGCGCACTGGGCTGTCTTACGCGCGTAAGACAGCCCGATGCATGCTTATTCGCGGATCTTTGTTAATTAAAATTTCAGTAACTATTGCGAATCTAGCAAAATGGTATAGGACTTTGTGACTCAGTTTTATTCCTTCTACCTGCCTACGAGAGATGTTAAACCAATTCTGGGACACCCTGTATATTGTACAATATTTATTTAGATATGTATGTAATTTATATACATATATATTGTGTACAATACATATTTAGATATGTAATTTACATACAGTCAAACCTTGATAATTCGAATCTCAAGGGAAGAGCTAAAATCTTCGAGTTGTAGAGGTTTCGATTTATCGAAGGTTTGTTTTCTTTCCGCAGAGCAGAAGGGAATGAAAAAAAATTTCCGTCCTATAGAGGAGTTTTCGAGTTATCGAGGTTTGAGTGTATATATATAATTTAGAGATATATTTAGTCAATACTGATATCTCTTGTCAGATTTATTCCGTAAAGTAAAAAAAATATCTTGCATTGCTCGATTTGTTTATCTTTTGCGCGCAAAGCTTTTTTTTTTACATACACACGTACGCACGTAACATAGGCTCGTTTATGCGCATGCAAGGAATATATGCGCCTCTCGCGTGGGCGTCCGGCGTCACGTGCGTGCATAACACGAGGGCGTTCGCACTTTTGCGCTTGCATCGCAATACAAAACAATATCGCGATATTAACGGAAGAATCCATGTCTTTTGTCTGAATTTTTTAATGTCTACATACCCAACTTTCTCTACCGGCTTCGAAAACGTGAGTTCGAATTGTAACCGAAATAGCTGCAAAAATATTGGACTTTTAAACATGTAAAACTACATCACACACTCTTCGAATCTCACACTTCGTGACTTACTCACAATTGTTTTTTTTTTCCTATTGATATATTCGCATCTTTATGTCTTTATGTAACTTTATAAAAATCGTCGAAAGCCGTCGCATCGCGCTCCGCAGTGGCCTCTCTATTATTCGCTGAAGCACTCGATGCAGCGAAAAAATGTAGACGACGCATTAAGGAGCGGAAAGTAGCACGACGAGATGGCCCGAGCTTCTTGAGGAAGCTCTGAATTAATGACGAAGTCACAGGGCTGTAACTAGGGGCGTGAATATAAACCTCGACAAATATGTAGGTTTGTTTCACTACACTTTTTTTTTTTTGCATTGACGTATTCATAATATAAAATAAACATCGACAGTTTTTCTCTTTTCTCTTTTATATTTCTTTGGGTTTAGATATTACAATTTTCCCCGACAAAATATTGACGCACCAATTAACTTAAATAAAAGTGATAATTTTTTTTAGAGCAACATAGTCTTCAATATTTACAGACGAGAAGATCGATTATTTACTTGGATATAGAAATATGTTTTTTCTTTGTTTATATTATATATTTATTCACTTTTTTCTACCGTAGATTCCACATTTCGAAAAGAAAAAGGATCTGTCTAGTAGGAAAATTGTTTCATTGAACCCAAGGAAGTAATAAAAAAAAAAAAAAAAAAAAAAAAAAAAAAAAAAAAAACAATGTTAGGGCTCTGAATTTCGAGTTTATCCTTTTCTTAAAGGATCAAGGTGTTTTCTCCCCTTGAAGGTTCATGCGCAGTCAGCTTCTTCTTCGTCTTCCTCGTCGGCAATCTCTTCTTTTAATATGGGTCAGCCTGATTATGCTGAGACACGAATGGTCGCATAAAAATAGGAAGAGCGATACTTCATGTAGCCGAAGTGTTGCAGATAAGAAGGAATGAGGGATATAAGAGTTCACCAAATATTTAGAGCTCCTGATTTCGCCGTCTTTTGACGGGAAAAGAAACTGCGGCACTAGAGGGTAATAGCCATATACATGATATAAATTAGGTAGTTTTGTTACGAATTTTGAAAGGCAGATTTTGACGAATAGCATTTTGTTAGATAGGAGTCATGCGTTATATTATAATTGTTTTACGTTACACAATCTAGTAGTCAGATTTAAAACTGCTTTTTTCAGAACACATTTTCTTCATTGATATTTGAACAATGTAGATACTAACAATCATCAACAAAACATTTATGCGACGTTAGAGAGAGCTATATATATATGTGTGTGTATATATATATATATACACGCACATATAATATTTTATTGGCTACGTCTGATAATGAGTACGCATCAATATCAGCGCGCGATAACAGCAGATTATAGGAATCGATACTCGTGTCTCTTATTTTTGCAACATCAAATTGTTTTCCGATTTTTCTCTTCGTTCTAAGCCTTTTTTTTATATATATATTTTCCGGGAGCACTCGGATAGCGCTATATAAAATTGGTTCTCAGTCGAGGGTAATCACTAGACCAGATTCACATTACCAATTAGAGGGCGACACCTTTCAAGCTTCTCTTCTCTGATGGGAAGCATCTGCCTCTAATAGGTATCAGACCTTACATTACTCGGCTTTAATAGGTATCGGTAGTTTAAACTCGTTATCTCTGCTTTCAGACAAATTTGTTCTCGAAAAAACGAAGAAAACTTATCAAATTCGGTAAATTTGACAAGTTGTTGACGCGTGTCAAAATTTGAAAGTAAAAATTTCAGAACACTGATAAATTTTTCGAAAATTACGATTATTTAGGAGAAATGTGTGAGATGTGCAAAATAAGTAGACAAATTAAAAAATATGTATCTGGTTGTGAACATCGATGATTTTAATATATTATATTAGTTTTAATATCCGGAGAACATGTGTGTGCGATAAAATAAAATTGAAATTTATGGAAAAATCTATTTTATATATATAATATTTGATTAATTCTGTACACGTGGACATTTTGTGTAACGATTTGATATTTATTGTAATTATTGTGGGTGGAACAATTTATGTGCATAATGGCCTACGCAGTTTTTATGCTTGACTGTCAAAATGTCAAACTACGGGGCGTATATCACACATAATCTACTTTAATTGAGATCTATCAAAACATTAAGTTTTTCGAGTCATAACGTAGGTTTGGTTTCACTTCCTGTAAACAATACATTTACGCGCACGAAGAGAACGCAACAAATTGCTGTCGTTAATAATTTTTAATAGCCAGCAGTTACACTTTGTACGGAAACGTTTATCGTTTTAAATATCACTCTTGTTTTTTAACACAAATTATCACTGTAATATACACGACTAATGACTTTTTGGTTGTGACTAAATACCACGCAATAGAAATAAAATAATCGTCAAAATTTAGATAACATACAATATGTTAATGTTTATAATATCTTTTACAAATAATTTCTATAAGATCTTACGTGAATATATATTACACATTGTAAATGAACATATTCGCAAGAATATTCGTCGCGCACGTGAAGTTCTTTTCTGCGGTAGCACGTGCCATCGTCGGCAGCGATCGTCGCGTAGGACCGCGCGTAGCTATTTCCGCAAGACGTCGCGCTATTTCCATCATCGGCGACTCCGCGAGAGAGTGCACGGACTTCAAAATTGATATTTGTCCTCGTCGTATTTCCCATTGACGTCCCAAAATAAATCGCCGATCGACGTAATACTCCGCCATATATATCGACTGGATGTATCCTCGCTTCTAAATCGGGTGATTTGTAAAGTAACACTGAGAGTAAAGCGTGGGTAATCTTCAGCTTCTCTCTCCGAGCGGCCTCTCTCTCGATGATCGATCCGATAAACACATTTTTCTCGCTCCTCGAGACGAAAATGTATGCGCGTCGTATTTTCGATAGAATATTGAAGTATTTTCGCGCGCATGTCTCATTACTTGTGTGACTGAAGATATTAGCATAATATTAGCTAACGAGTTTCCAAGCACGGAATCACCGCAAGAGAACAGTGCTCATTCGGCCGAGTAAATTTTTACGAGGTGAAAGCTCTTTCGAAAAGGCTCGTTCGAGCGAGGTGACCTCTGAAGGGATGGCCACACATTCTCTCTGTTCATCCCCAAAAGACTGCCACTTAAGCGTCTACGTGTGTCTTCTGATTATAATATTACGTGATTACATGATATTTCGTTGATTACTCGTGCAACTAATCGAGAGACAGAGAGAAAATGTTTATTTATATATCTTTGATGTTTTTTTTTTGAATGCTGGAAGAAGTGCAGACGTTAAATTTACTTCACTTGTCTGTATATACATGTATGTGCACGAGCTAAAATTGTTTTTGGAGGATACTGTTATTTTTAGTCGCTTGATGACTTCGAAGATCGCGAATTTTTAACTTCGTCATTTAAATACTTATCGATCGTTTGATAAGTATTTAATACGCTTCGGCAGTGTGCTTAATGTAATCTTCAAGTGTCATTTAGCCAAAATTGTATGTTTTCAATCTTTGACCATCGTCGAAAGCGACTGGCATCCATCAACATTCTCATAAATATATATACCAGTATATATAAGTAGCAGTTCCATTAAAGACTATTTAATATTAAGTAGAACATTATACTGTAGCGTATATGTAGACATAGATATGCATCGTGTGTCTATTTCTATTTGGTCAGTAGCATATATCAAAGTTCTAGTAGCTTGGTAGACGCGTAAGCCACGTGTCCATCTGATAGTTTTGTTGATAAGTCGATGGATCATTTTCCAGTAAAACCAAAGAAGTTTATTTACCTATTATAGAAATACAGACAACCCCCCATTAAGAATTTATTATAGTATATCTCGGGCAAAAATTTTTATTATTAGCAAGTTGTAATATAATATAAACATAGAAATTCTATCGTCACTAGTCACGGCCTTGAGATAATTCTGTACATATTGTATAAAATTTATTAGGCTATCTTTTTTTATTAGGCCAGTACATACATATGTAAATGTCTTTGTTTCAAAAGTCGATGGAATCTCTTTTTCTTTGATTTTTATATTATTCGCATATCAATCAATTTTATGTTTATTTTGTGTTTTCGCTGGAAAATTATTAACGACGAAAACTTTGATCATTGCAGATCGCTGCCGAAACTCAGCAGCCAGGACGAGGATGGGACGAATCCCCACACCCAATACACAGGCGTCACACACTTCGAGCCCATACCGCACGATCATGACTTTTGCGAGAGGGTCGTCATCAACGTAAGTGTGAAAATGTTAAAAAAACAAACAAATATAACACAAATAATCTCACAAATAATCTCATATCGTATTTTTTATTAAAAACAAAAAAAAATATTTATCCTTGGTTTACGTCAATTTTAAAAATTGAATAAGTTTTTAGAGAGTATATTAAACAGTTTTGGCTCACTTTATGATACTTTTGGCGCCTTGATGATTTGTGAAATGAAAACTTCTCGCCAAAAAAGTTTCGTCTTTACGGAACCTTGGCGCCGCAGATCCTTAATCTCGCAAAGTCTCGGGTATAAATCGTACATTCGACATTTTTCAGGACGAAAGCAGAAAATATCTCTATATATATATCTCAAATGTAAATTTAATTCATAAAAATGTTTTTGCACATTGATTTTATTTAAGATTTTATGTTTTTAAGTCATTTATGATTCAAATGTTTTTTTTTTTTATTACTACAAAATAAATGACCGCGAGTCACGTGTGTTGTCACGCACATATCTTTCTTTGTTCAATCCGATTCGGATGTATTTGTATGCACTCTTCTTTTGACGAGTTGAGATTATCTCAAGACATGAAGTGACCTACAGACCGTGTTTTGGCGGCCATCCAAGTTCGTCTTGGAATTGAGGGCGATATAGCGCCAAGGTCGTATTGTGTGAACGGAATTATCTGTCCTCGTGGATGACACGACTGCATTGCGCCAATTACAGCAATCGGTTCAATCGATTTTGTTCTTGTTTTTTTTTCCCTTCCTTCCTGCCTTGGCAATACGCTCAAAAACTCGACGGAGGTCAAAGTACGCTACTCAAGCGTACGTGGGTGGAGCGTGTGCGAATGTGGATCGTAGAATCAATATGTAACGTGCGCATATTCCGCTCGAGATTTGACGTGCTTTTCACTTTCAATTTGCAGTTAAAAGTTACATTTAAATGTACAAGAGAAAGTAATTTCGTACGATTTGTTTCAATATTAGATGACTTCAGAGGTCATTCGGACATTTTTAATTTTTTTTTATAAAGGTTTTAATTTATAATATATATTATTATAATATGTATTATATATATATATATATATATATATATTATTTGTTGGTATTGAGCTGGAATTTTCGTTGTTAATTTTGTATGTATTGATTTTTTAACGAATAGTTTGGATTTTGGTAAAATACTCAGAACGTCAAATCGATTTTTTGTTAAAATGCTGAAAATCTAAAATTGTCAAATTATTCAACGTAAGTTAATAAATAACAAGCTGCTCTTGAAATCCTGATGATGAAGTAAGCTGAAATGTTCACGAAACGTCGGTATAAAAATAATATTAACGCGGTTTAAATCCGAAAAACATCTTCGAATGTTAATAAGTTAATAAAATTAGATAAGTGGTCGATGTGATAATCTCCGATAATACGTTACTCTTTTTGTGACGAGCGGCCCTGTAACCACTCGTACTCCCCTCCTCTTTCCTGGTCACAATTAGCCGCTTGAGCGACGCGCCCCGCCCAGTGCGGCGCCACCGTACCAATAATCGATTGCTGCGATCGACAGGTGAGCGGGCTACGGTTTGAGACACAGCTGCGTACACTGAACCAATTTCCGGACACGCTGCTCGGCGATCCGTCACGGCGGCTCCGATATTTCGATCCGCTGCGCAACGAATACTTCTTCGATCGGAATCGACCTTCCTTCGATGCCATACTATATTACTATCAGAGCGGCGGCCGCCTACGCCGTCCGGTCAATGTCCCGCTCGATGTCTTCTCTGAGGAGATCAAGTTCTACGAGTTGGGCGAACTGGCTACCAACAAGTTCAGGTACGAGGCCAGCTGTCCAGTTCTCAACTCATCAACTCTCGATGATACCGTCCCTAATACCATGTGATCCAAGTTAACGTAAATGTCGTGTTTGCGATTTCGCAAATCCTTGAGTCCAAGAAGTCTTCAAAAGCACGGTTCTTAATATCTTTGTATCTAATAGTCTTTGGACTACAAACTTGATACAAAGTAGTTAATGTCCTTTCGATCTTAGTTTAAATTGCACTTGTCCAACTCTTGCTCTCGACAAAACCACAGCTCTCAAAGACACACACTCCCGATCCTATAAACATTCTGTATCATACATGAGATACAAATATAGAAATAGAAAAGATAAGGGAAGTCGCAACATTAACAAACCACTGACCGACTGAAACAGGGAGGACGAAGGCTTTATCAAGGAGGAGGAGAAGCCGCTGCCGTCGCACGAGTTTCAGAGGAAGGTCTGGTTGTTGTTCGAGTACCCGGAAAGCTCGCAAGGCGCCCGGGTGGTCGCTATAATCTCCGTGTTCGTGATCCTTCTGTCGATCGTAATCTTCTGCTTGGAGACGCTGCCCGAGTTCAAGCATTACAAAGTCTTCAACACGACGACGAACGGCACGAAGATCGAGGAGGACGAAGTGCCGGACATCACAGACCCGTTCTTCCTAATAGAGACTATTTGTATCATCTGGTTCACGTTCGAATTAACAGTGCGCTTCCTCGCCTGCCCAAACAAATTCAACTTCTTCCGTGACGTAATGAACATCATCGACATCATCGCGATCATTCCGTACTTCATCACCCTCGCCACGGTGGTGGCCGAGGAGGAGGACACGCTGAACCTACCTAAAGCGCCGGTAAGCCCGCAGGACAAGAGCACGAATCAAGCGATGTCCCTGGCGATACTCAGGGTAATCAGACTGGTCAGAGTGTTCCGGATATTCAAGTTATCCAGGCACAGTAAAGGCCTTCAGATCCTTGGGCGGACCCTCAAAGCCTCCATGAGGGAACTCGGGCTACTCATCTTTTTCCTTTTTATCGGTAAGTTCGATGACGTGTCCTTTGTAAGGATTAGCGATAAGAAGAAAATTTATATCTTCTATACATGTATGGTTAATAATTTATGTAAGGAAAATATATTGACAACAAAAAGATAACAAGAGAGAGAGTGAGATAAACGACAAAGCAAAAATAAATCAAATTGCGTTTAAAAGTCGAAAAAATTGAAGAGAATTTACATAATGAGAAACAAAAATTTTATTTTATTATTTAAAAGACTTTTTTATTTCCATATAGAAATGAACGAATGTAATATGAAATTTTTTATATGCAACGAAGAATGTGGTCGGATGAAAACTTAAGTGAAAAAATATTCGCTCAATAAGCTACACGATTTATTTTATTATTTGAAAAACTTTTTTATTTCCATATAGAAATGAACGAATGTAATATGAAATTTTTTATATGCAACAAAGAATGTGGTCGGATGAAAACCTAAGTGAAAAAATATTGGCTCAATAAGCTACATTAATCAATATTAAAAAATAAACAATTGGCAAGATTGTTTTCGCAAAAACTTGCATTTAAATCAACAATTTCCCATATGTTTTCTCCCTCTCCGATCTCGGAATACTCGGAAAACGTCGTCTATAAAGGTCACTTCTTGATATAATTACTTCGGCTCATCATTACTCTTTAAAAGAAACGAGATTTATAACATTGTTCATTTATTATCATGGGATAAAAGTCTCGAATACCAAGATCTTTGTTGATCTTTTACAAACAATAGAAAGAAACGAATAAAAAGGATATGGGTGTAAAAAAGCAGGAAAAAAAATGTAGAACAGCTTTAAAGAACAGCTTTAACAGAACAACTTTATCTGTTTATCTTTTTATAGATTTTTCTTTAGAAAATAAGTCACGCTGTACAATAGAATATTTATCAAGATTTCAGCAAGATCTGATACTTTTTTGTTTGTTTGTTAAATTTTATGAAATTTTACAAAGTCAGTGTGTGAAAACAATCTTGCGAATTGTTCTTATAAATAAAATTCCACTGTACAAATTCGCTTAAAAGCGCACTTTAACTTTCTTAATTTCTCTCAGAAATAAGGTCTCTGACTAGTCTTTCTCTCATGTGGAAAGGTTTCAACTATTGAATACTGCATGCCAACTGTTCCATATCGATAGGATATAAAACGTACAACTTTAAAAGTCTTCTTTCTTTGCTACTAAATAATAAGCTGCAGATTCTCATCCAAGGTATATCTGGTGTGGACCAGTTGAGACACGATCGACCATTCACTTGGATCAATATAGCGATCCCGATTGATCCTGGAGATTGACACGTTACTGTTGGGCGTTTCCAGATGTGATCAGAAAATCACGATCCTACAATAGTCGGATTTTACATCCGCAGCGGCCGATATACACGATGCGTGTGGACGATGACGTACCACCATCTTGACCCGTACCTTCCTCTTGTGTGCGTTGCAGGTGTGGTGCTGTTCTCGTCGGCAGTCTATTTCGCGGAAGCCGGCACGCAGGACAGCTTCTTCAAATCGATACCGGACGCGTTCTGGTGGGCGGTGGTCACGATGACGACCGTGGGCTACGGCGACATGAGGTACAGAGTCACCGGGGGCGTTAAACCCACTGAACCGGTGTTTTCTTCCTTGCATTGCAGGTGTGGTGCTATTCTCGTCGGCGGTATACTTCGCGGAGGCCGGCTCCGAGAATTCGTTCTTCAAGTCCATTCCGGACGCATTCTGGTGGGCCGTTGTCACGATGACGACCGTGGGCTATGGTGACATGACGTATGATGTACTCACTTTCACTTAAGACTCTAGTTAATGCCCGCAAAACAACGATGATCTTTTCGGGTCGTCGAAAATAAAAGAGAAAAACATAGAAAGAAAGAGAGATCTAACGAACACACGCAGCCTCTCCCCTCAAGCCTTTAATCATTCGCATGACACTTCTTCAAGTTTGCAACAACATTTTTCTTTAACTTAAAATCTGAGTTAAAATATCGTTAAAAGATAAATTTCGATTGCGAACCTGTGAAAGAGAAAAAATTCTTTCATATTGCCAATGTCAAGAAATCGGCAATCAAAAACCGATCGAGATAAACTTGTTGTTGCAATCATACGTTTTTCCTTCCTATGTTCTTCCAATTGGCACGCGTTGCTCGAAAAGCACGCTTTAATTATTCCACACAAAAGTAAGAAATCTTATGTTACCAGTATTTTCATCTCATTCACAACTTCGAATACCGTAAGCAAGTATATTTCAATTGTTTTGCCACTTCATTTTCCAATTACGCGCAAATTACAATTTACTTGTTTTCTCAGCACTCTAATAAACACAGACTGTTCCACTTCACTATACATTACTCTTTAAAATATTTTTGTCTATTAACATTTTCTTATGTTTTACTATTATCTGTTTTATCGGGTCATTAAATGTGAAACTTGACAAATACACACATACACACACATATTTGTATATGTATACATATACTCATTTATCGAGTTTCATACTTAATACCCTAATATTAAAATGACAAACAGGGACTTATACCGATATGCAAAATACCGGTATTTTACCGATATTTTTGGGTAATACTATGAAAACCCTTATGCAAACCGAAATGCAGAAATACCGGTATGACGTCATACCGGTATACGATAATACCGCGATATATTTACTCATATTTACCTATATTTATCGATAATTTTTCGAGCACATTAAGCGATTGATATTATATTAAGAAACTAACAGAAGACGATTTTTACAATTTATATATAAAAATTTGTCCAATACGACGAAAAAATAATCCGGAGAAAAGCAAATTTTGTACACGAGTATTTCCAGTATATGATTCATCGTGCAACAAATCATTATGTTTAATTAATGATTGTAGACATGAAGTTATACTGTAAGTAGTTTTAAATATATTTATATATATACTAGACGTCGATTATTTTTTAAATAAAATATATCTTTAGGAAAATCATGCTACAAATCTATTGGCACATGTATCTTCGACTCATTCGCATGAATTTACATTAGTCATGCTACGTAATAAAAGAAAGCATGAAGAAATAGCTGCTTCAATTGGTTTATAAAAAAAAACGTCTTTATATTTTGTCGGTCTATAAGTCTAATAAGCGGTAGGAAGATTAATTATGCAACAAAAATTGCTTTAATTAACCTATCTATATAATTTTTAAGAATACCATTAGTAGAAATACCGAAATAATACCGGTATTTTATTACGGTTTTCGGTAATGTATCGGTTTCGGTACTATAACGGTAACGGTAACACTCAATTTCGGTACTATATCGGTTTTGATATACAATCTCTATAGTATAATACCGGTATTGAAATCATACCGGTAATAAGTCCCTGATGACAAATGACCCGAAATGCGTGTCTGGTTTAAGCAAACTAGTTTGTCGAACGAGACAGAAGAAAATAATCATTTTTTCTATCGAAAGATGATTGATTCCGAATTCTCAAAATTTCACATTTTCAACATAACACTCTATGTATACATACGCTATTACTGAATTTCCCGAAACTATTGCATAGCGACTTATGCACCACTTTATGCACAAACGTACGAATGTATAAAATTAGCGCCACTTGGGGATCGTAGACAGCGTCAATTCCGGCTCTCTCGTAAAGACTCAGTAGCGTCTTGTAGTAGTCTATTGTTTCTTCTGCGCGTTACGTACTTTGTTGTGGCCACTTGCTAAGTCCTCTCTCTCAAAAAAATTGGAACGTTTGAAAAAAATATTCCTTCAGTATATCCACACACTCGCGATATCACTCTTTCTCAATGGAAATTCACACACAAGAGCCATTAATTTTGCCAAACTTAAATATATCTTTTTACTTTGTTTAATGTGAGTAAGAAAAAGATGACAAAAATATTCCAAGTGTAAAAAAAAGAAAAAAAAATACTTGAGAAGGCTCCGATAAATCGTAAAATGTCTTAACATTTAAATTAACAGTAACAAACACAGAGGCAGCAAATTTGTGTTAAAGCATATCAAATGTCTACGTCCTTCGACGATTGAGTAAAAATCTTTGGATATATTTTCGATTTTTCCCACCGGAGAGAAATCCCCGATATGTTGCGGCTTAGGAGGCTTCTCTCCAGCGCAATTGCCTTGTGTAAATCAATAAGTGTCCTCAGACACGGAACCGCCCCGAGGCAAAGGGAAAAATCACGGAGAGAGATTCAAAGCCACCACACTATACGCTATACTCCGTGTATCGATCGATGCACACCCGCGAAATGTGCGCGGTTCGAAGAGGTGTCCGGCTATTCCACTTCGGATGACCTCCGCGACGCGGTTTGTTGAACTCGTACTATAGATGGTCAATATTGTTTGCAAGACTATGACACTTGCCCTTTACATATTGCCGATTGTCGTTCAGTGAAAGAGAAATTAATAGTTATGTACAGACAGCACCTTGAGCAACGCGTTAGTACTAATTGATAAATAGTGGACTCTCTGTTTTTTTTTTACCTCAATTTTAACAGAAATCAATATATTTTGTACTAAGTAGAAAAAATAAAATTTGTGTTTATTTTTTTACATAATATTCTACAAACAGTTCGCATTTGTTGGATTATTACAATTTAACTTTTTTTTTTGTATTTATCTCTCATCGATGCGCACACTCGTCACATGATAAATTTGTTGTTAACAAGGAGAAGGGATAATAGTGAAATAAAACATATTTAAAAAAATTAAATTGAGACAAAAAACAATAAGATTGTTTTCTTGTAATTTCTAACATTTATTTTGATATTGAACATAAAAAATGTCATGGTCAGCGACCACTAATATGATATAATCTTTTTGTTTGCTTCATCGATCAATGCATAACATAATTTGTCGGCTCAAGCATAACATAATTTGTGTGAAAGTTTTCGGAACAACGAGTGTGACATTTAAGGGGAAACCTGGAGTAAAAGCGATTACCTCCGATGATTCTCTGAACAAAATCCAATAGATGACCATAAACTTCATCTTCGCGTTCTTTCCTTTACCTTTACTTGCTTCGCCACCATTATTAGAAAATGGTATTACCTCATCATATCAAAATGAACAATCTTCTTGCCGTCATACCACTATGTTATCAGTACTGTTAACAGATAGAAATATTTCCACCACGTGTTCCACCATTTTTAACCCAATAAATTCCACTCTATTTAATTAATGACTTATATTAATTTTTGAATCTATTCACGCTACTTGTAGTCACATTTTCAAATTCAATCCACACTTCACGAACCTCTTCCTACATTCCTCAACATCATTATCCCGCTGCTTCTTGCGTGTGGTCTCTAAAAAAAGATCTCCCGAGATTTGATCTTGCAAGATTTGTTGACGAAAAAGGATCAATGCATGCGTGTCCTTTGCCTGATGATTGTCCAGCATGTGAGTGCTCAGACTTTTATCATTATAATAATCATAATTATTATTGAAAACGTTTTGCTCGATTCCATTTTTTCTCATGATTATGTTATATCACCATTATTATGATCACCATTGGTCATGGATCACAAAGGCCCATAATAACAAAGACGATTTGAAGAAATGATATCTTTTTTCTAACTTATATAACGTATGTGTGTGTATCTCGATCACTTTAATAGCTACGTTCACTTTAACCGAGACGAGTGCCGCGCTTATGTAAACGTAAAGTTATCTGTCCATCTCCACGAACTTGCTCTATCGGTGCTTAAATATCAACGAAAAGTTCACGTCTATTCGCTTCGTAATTGGCCGATAACAACAGCGAATTTGACCTTTTAAATCTGTGTTTCCAATGATCTTTTTTTTTTTTTTTTATATATATAGCGCTTTTATATACATTCAGCAATTATATACAAAACATTTTGCTGTTTTTTCGCTCAACAATTAAAAAAAAAATAAGTGTCATATTGTAAACGTTTCGTTTGCGAATTTGTTTTAAATCGAGTATTAAGTCGTGTTGCTCGACACTAAAAAGTTCTTAATAAATTCACAAAGATTGTTTTTTATATTTGCGCACTCGAGTACTGTATAATAAAAAAAAAGTAAAGTATTCGTAAATATTTGACTTAATAAAAAAAAAATTCGTATGATGGGCAAGAGCTTCCGTTGAGCTTACGACACGCACTCGTAATCTAATTGGCGCTTATGTGATAAATGCCAAGAGTGGAGAAAAAAATGCTTGACCGAATTTACTAGCAAATATTACGTAGAAAGTGAAAATTAAAAAAAGAAGGAAAGAAATGTTTAGAAACATATACTTAGTACCTTCCAAAAAAATACTATAACTTAATATTTACACTGTTTATAGAAAAATTTTATTTTTTAATTCTTACAATTTATTATCAGTTTCTTTTTTTGGTTGCTATATACCTATTAACAAACTTTTTCCAATATCGTAAACAATTAATACAATTTTTGCGACGCATTAAAATTTGTCGGTTGTTTCTGAAATATCGAGCTATTTTATACTCAGCTTGGTGTATATACTACTATTTTAGCGTCGTAATTTCTTGTATCTCCTCCGGTGCGCAAAGAAGTAATTATTCTCTGACACATTTCGCGAACGCCTGCAAAAGAGAAGAACGTTCGTCTTGCTCTTCTCTTGAAAACTTGAAGCGTCGATTCGGTCAAGTATCTGGCTCCGCTGTGTGCATTCTCGACATATCGAATTGTTCCGGCCTCACAGCAACGAGGCGTAACCGAGTTCAGCCGAATACAAATCGACCGATCAGGGTCAGTGTGTAAATTTCTAACGGGGTTAAAAACGAGGCACATGTTGTTGACGCATTGTTTTCAGTAAGCGCAGTAACGTTTCTTTTTTCTTTTTCCAACATTTATCAGAGAGTTTTTTATTACGACATATTACGAAAAAGATAAATTTTCAGACCTTTATTCCCCTAGTTTTAGACTAGAGTGTCCGCTTTATACTAGAATCCGCGTTACGCTACACCTACATACGGTCGTATAAGAACGTTATAGAGTTAATCGTGTGGCGTTGGCTGAATGGAAAAACCAGGAACGTATAAAGAGGCTTATTGAGACACGCATCGGGGAAAAGCCGTTTCTCGATGTAACGTGTCTACGAACGAAGAGAAGCGTATCGACTAGGAACGTAGCTGAACATATTGGTGTGGCACGATATGTCACGTCCACCTCATTTAGCATTCTGCCAACGCACGCGGACGATCATTATTACATATGTATATATACATATATATATATGTATATATATATATATATAAGTGTGTGTATATATATATATATGTACACACACACAAATACATAAGAGCCTCCAGTACCGCATAAAGTAGCGTCACATTTGACACTGCAGACTCACACAAGGTAGAAACACCACACCTAGCACCAAGTTGAAGTTTATTCCCAAGTTTGCTCGGCAGCACGGGGAGGCGGTTTAGATTGTCATCTAATGCAAGATTTTTCTTGATGCTGTTGCAGGCCCGTGGGAGTCTGGGGGAAGATCGTGGGTTCGTTGTGCGCGATTGCCGGTGTCCTTACGATCGCTCTGCCTGTCCCTGTTATCGTCTCCAATTTCAATTACTTCTATCATCGTGAGACTGACCAGGAGGAGATGCAGTCGCAAAATTTTAATCACGTGACCAGCTGTCCTTATCTTCCTGGCACTTTAGGTACACCGCTGCTCGCGCGCGTTCTCAATCAATTGTTCAATCGCGATTAGATTAAAACTCAGTACTGCGTTTCAGAGTGAATAGAATTCTTAAAAAGAAACATAATGTATTCCGCGCACTTTAGGTATGAAGAAGATATCGATGTCGGAGTCCTCGTCGGATATAATGGAACTGGAAGAGGGCACCTTGTTCACTCAAGAGATCACCAAAAAGTCAAATTGCAACCCTCGTCACAATAATAATATCAATCCAGCCTGTATGAGCATCGAGACTGACGTCTGACTACTAGGTGAATATTACTGATATCAATATACAACTTTTTTTTTGATACTAGTTGTCACGATCGTGTATTCTTATTTCTTTGTTTCTTCCCCGAAATGAATTCTAGTGAAGGAGACGGTGGCAGCGTGGTGGCCATTGCTGGGCCAGTTGTTAAAGAGCAACTACAGTTCCCTGCGGTGCCTGACGTAGGCCTCCTTCATACGTCGTTATAGTCGTAGTGGCTGGTGCCAGCGTCGCTCGCCAGCCAGTCCAGCCAGGTCCATCAGTACGAGGGGCGTTCGGGTCAAGAATCGAAGAAAGATTTGCGGAGAGCGCAATTTCTCTGAAAAGCCGAACACAAGCGCTTCTTCCATCCGTGATATCGAAAAAAAAAAAAAAAAACGTAAAAGAGATGAGAGGTGGACCGAAAGTGTACGAAGCACGAGAGAGGGGGAAATGGATTCATTTCGCTCTCGGGACATCGTCACATTTTTCGCCGTCTCCTCAGAGAGACTCACGCCCCGCGTAAGGACCCACGTGCGAACGAAGGGGACGGGATTATTCCTCGCTCGCGTGTGTGTGCGCGCACGCGCGCGCGCGTTCGGCCCGAATCCCCCACACCACCGACTCCAGTGTTCAAAACAAAAAATTAAAAAATAAAAAAATAAAGCTATAACAAAAAATGATATCGTAAAAAAAAATCGCGGCGTCTCCGAGTATAAGCGTCGTCGAGTGCCCCTTATCCTGTCTCTGCGGGCTCCTCCGGCTTCCGAATATCGAACGAGCAAAGCGGGAAGATGAGAGCCGGTAGATGACGGAAAATGCGGGGAAATTGTACCAGATAATACTATATTTAATTATTATCGATACAATTAATCGAATACCGTATATGTAGGACGAGGGTAAGTTAAAATATGTTTTTTTTTTTGTACGAATAATACGTGAGTGTGGATGAAAACACTTGGAAGACGCTGCTTGCGGAAGAAGCGGGAAAGGGAGAAACGGCGAAGAAGCTCGCGAAAAAAAATAGCATCAAGGACGAAGGAAAAGAGAACGTTCACAGATCCGGAAAAAAAAGAAAGACAGAGAGGGAGAGAGAGACAATGATCGTATCGTGCGGCGGAAAGACTGTTCCGTTTCTTTTTTGATCTTTTTTTCATAAAGGATACCAAGTAAGCCGATTTTCGTATCTAGTTACCATTATATGGTACATTATTAATGCGAGACAATTGGATAAACGCGATTCATTTTTCCGACTTGTTACATTCGCGCACCTGCACACACAAACATATTTACACAAGTGCCGATAAAGCGGTGGAGGGTTGAAGTTGAATGGCGTTATCAGTATATTTAAAAAGAGAACGGTAGAAAACAATTATATTTAAATGCCACAGATTTAGTGATAACGTTAGTTCATCCATGACGGTTAGATATTTGCGAAAATATGATGACGCAAACGACTTCAATATCCGCGTGTGGTTTCGAGAGTTACTCTGCCAGTGTTGGATTTGCACCTTCGCTGCTTAAAAAGCCGCTATTAATAAATTTTAAATTGAATTGATTTAAATTAAATTGAGTTTGTAGGAACTAATACTCTAAGCGTGAACAATTATGGAAAAATCAAAGCTTTACCGATCTTTAGTTTTAATAGAAATTATTTATCAACGTCCAAATTACACAATGATATTAAGATCTTGTATGTAAGAGAGTACATCTATATCCGCGCTTGTGTGTACTAAAGCACAGGAGAATCTTACAAGGACTTTACTTACACTTCGGCGCATTAAGCAACAAAGGTGTAAGTCTGTTCTGGACAGCAAATCTAGAGAGAAGTTATACGACAAATTTTTGAATATAAAACTCGATGCCGGTGCAAGCGATTGTAACGATAAGAAGCGTCCAGAAAATCAAAAAAAAAACCGAAGATGTCTGCCGATGGCGCGCGTTTACGCCCAAAATTACAAATTTTAGCCTTTCGCGTACGATTTGACACTTCTGTCTTTGAATGTATGCGATTTAATGATTCCTCCAGTATCATCAATGATTGCTTGCACCAAGAGCCGAATAATAATGATGATAACGATTAGCATGCATAAGTTTGAAAGTACGAGTGTGGTAAAAAAAAAAAAAAATATCGCTCAAATATCGCGTTCTTCGTCTTTATCGAAGCTCAAAGATATCAAAAAGAATCAGTACGATTCTTTACGGAATTAAATTTTGATTCGTCTCAAAGCTGCGGAATAAGGCAACTTTTTGATAAAAACGAGAAATGAAAGCTCACTCTGTAAAGTGACGAGAGAGAGAGAAAGCGTTTTTTGGTCATTCTTACAGTTTTCCTCTTCCTATAAGGAAAAACAAATCCTGTTTCTGACATACATATATAAAAAGTATTTATTCGAAAGAAGAAAACAATATTATAATAATGTTAATAGAAAAATTTGATGATAAAAAGAAAATTTATACACACGTCGCTATTTTGAATCTTAAAGCTGAACGACTAAACAACTTGCTAGCGTCAAAGAGGGAGAGGAAGACATGTAGCGTTTGAGAAGTAAGGTACTGTTTAGAGAACGAAATGGCATGCCAATCGATCCTCGCACCTAATTTCCTCGGAGAGACTCACCGAATCTCTTTGTCTCGAAGTTTCACCTCTTTTTCCATACGACAAAAGCACGTCGTGAAATCGCCAAGACTGCCATTTCATCACACTCGATTTAAATCGCGCCGAGGAGTTATCCTCGAATTGTACATTCTTGGAGGTGGAACCAAATTAGCTTCAAAACCGATCAATTCTTCGATGTGCTGTTTTGATCTAAATTTTACGAGAATTAAAAAATCGAGTCGCGAGGCGACTATTTTCGTATTAGTAAACGAGGGGGATACAGAGAAAGAAAAAATACTAAAAGAAAAAAAAAACTTGATCCTCGTTCCACCTTCTAAAGTTGCCGATAGTCATCCGATTCGGTCGAGAAGAAATTCGAGCAGTTCAAAGTGAACTTCTTCAGTACTTGTTCTATTTTACCGTACATCGCGCACTAGTTTTTGTTAGTTTTTTGACATATGTTACAGAATTAAAGCTTCGTTACTCTATAGTAAATCTGACTATATAAAATTAAAAAAAAAAAAGTAATAGTTTTACTTGAATCACTATATACTTAGTTCGATACTGAAGGAGATTAACTAATTCTGTTTGCATCTAAAAGAATGTACATTGTATGATTTAAGGCTGATACATAATGAAAAATTAAAAACAAGACGACCAAAGAAAAGTAAGAATTGTATATCGTACCAACACTGTTGTAAAACGTAAAGACATGTATATAGTTACGATTACCACGTGACGATTACTACGTGAGAGAAATAGATGTCGAGCAAAAAAATCAATGGAATAGTTCCAATATCTCAGTATTGTCAATAACATGAGCAATATCTAGGAAAAGAAGCCTTCAATTAGAGAATATACATATTGGAAGATTAAATAATAGAGTGTGTTTTCTCCGCTTTTTAGAATGAAAGTAGTTTTACATACTAATGTTGGTTTGAGAAAGAGAGAAACAGAGAAAATGAGAGAGAAAGAGAAAGAAAGAAAGAAAGAAAGAAAGAAAGAAAGAAAGAGAGAGAGAGAGAGAGAGAGAGAGAGAGAGAGAGAGAGAGAGAGAGAATCGCATTATCCGCGTAATATATTTATCTCCCTATTTGTTGTTCGGTGTAAATCTGTTTGCTGGTTCTGAAGTACCAGTTTACGCTTCTTGTTCTTATTACTCATTGTGTATCGGCCGTTTTAAACATGCAATTGATTACATTACACGGAAAATGACAACAAAATAAGCAACCACTTAAAAAAAAAAAAGACAGAGTAACTTAATTCGATTTTAGTAGATAATTTTAGAAGCGATTTAAAAAAAAAACACACACAAATGGCTAATCTCGTCTTTTAATAAATAAAATGTCGACAATGTGGTGAAACTTTAGTCCGCAATATCAATGTGCGTATGTGTGTGGTAAGTGTGTTGTGTGCGTGTATGTGTGTACGTTTGACCAAATGAATAGCTAAATGAGTAGGTGAGAAAGAGAGAGGGGAACAAAAGGTATGCATGCGTACTTGTGCATATACGTGTGAAGCAGAGAGATAAAGAGATAGAGGTAATAATGAGATATTATTGGTACAATAATTATACACGGAACTTTACGTTACACGCTTTTAATACAATATTCGAACCTCTCGCCTCGCTAATTTAGTCTGAAAAAAGAAGTATAGAAGAAAGAAGTAA